TTTCCGTCGTCGATTCTGTTCCCATGCCAAGTGTGAAAATGCCTAACAATGGACCGCCAGTTATTCCCATAATAATGTAGAAAGCCTAAAATGACAGAAATTTATTTTATTGCCACTAATCTTTCAATTTAGAAATATTTATAAGAATTACCTGAAATAATCCGCCAAAAAATTGCGCTAAAAATGCTAGGACAATGGAAAAAATGCCGACCGTAAAAGCGAGCACTTTAGCGATGAAAGCTGATTTTGTAGGAGAGAATTCATGCCCAATATACTTTCTGTATAAAGGTTTTAGAAAATCCTCCAACATTACGGCCGCCAGAGAATTTATTATCGAAGAAATCGTGCTAAGACTTGCACTAAAGATACCTGGAAATACAGACATTCGAATATAATATTAGTGTTAAGTATCCACCGCGCACTTCTGTTTTAGAACTGACTTTATTATACATAAATGAGAGTATCTAAGATGACTATCGCAAACACACTAGTTGATTGATTTTATTTTAAAATTGTTTCAAAAATACGCCTAAAATCGCATATTTCAAATATTGATGTTTTCAGATATTTTTATTTTCATATTTTAATATGTAATTTCCATGACATATTAAGAGATATTAAGAGATATTAAGCTACGACAAAATCAATTTGCGGTAAAAATATTTACCTGCCACAAAAAGGCCTGGTAAACCAGATATATTAGACATCGTGTCTACAACGTACAATGGCATAAGCATATCAGGCGAAGTAATTCTTTTCTGGAGAAGCGGATCGCAATTGTGGTATCTGCTGTACATCGCCAATCCTAAGAAGCAACTTGCAGTCACAATTATTATCAAAATGAGCAAAGACAGCCATATAGCTCTTTGTGAAGACTGCATATTTCTAAAAAAAAAATTTACTTAATTCAATTTTTTAAATTTCTTTAAATGTATTTTAATTAATAAACGACAATTTAAATGATATAAAAAAAAAATTTATTTAATAATTAAGTAAAAGAAGAAAAAATTAAAATTATATGACTGTCATTGTTTTATATACGACTAATGAAGCGTCAGCAATTGCTCTACTATATTTAATAATTTTATTTCTTATCCAATTACTCGAATAATGGGACATACTTAACAGTTACCATACGCTGTATTTGTACTTGGTTCACTCCGAAACGTATTAAAAATGTACAGAAACCTCCCAGTATAATGGACCACCAGGTATGTTTTACTGTTGGATCTAAATCAATACTATAAGATAAGTAAAATATTAATTTGTGTTTAGGTATAGAAAATTGGCCAAGTTTATACTAATATAGAGAAATAGGTTACCTATCAAACTCGAGGCGTTGCCCTTGCCTCGCGATTTCCCATATCCGTTCCAATCCTCCGACATCATTTGCTGCTGAGCCAATAATTAAAAACACGGCGGCGAACATAAGTAAAATTTGAAATACGTCGGTTGTTAACACAGCTTTAATGCCACCTATACTGGAATAGAAGGCACACACAAGGCCAATGATGATAATACTGAAAATCTTGGAAATTCCTGTAGTCGTCTCCAAGACTAGAGAAGGAGCATAAAGCACCACTCCTGAGTACAATAGCAGTTGAATCCAGAAAATGAAACTAATCATCATCCTAGCTCTTACTCCGAAACGCCTTTCTAAGTACTAAAAAAATTAATTTCCCTTTAAATGTGCGACCAAAAACATTTCGCAACCAAATAAATCGCTAGACTCACCTCGTAGATGGTTGTCGTCTGCAGATTGTAAAATACTGGTAAGAATCCATAACATACAATCAAAGTGCCCAGCAAATACGATAGATTTGTTACAACATATAGCATCCCGTATGTGTAAGTCTCACTGGATATACCTAGCAGTCCGGATGCAGATACAGTAGATGCTACAATGGCGATAGCAACTGGTACGCTACTCATTGATCGATTTGCAATAAAGTATTCCTATATAAAGTACATTTTATTATAGCAAAGCATTAAAAAGAAACTTTGTCTTAACAAGAGTGTCTAACAACAATAAACACCTGTATAGTTTTTTGACGTCCTCCACTAAATCTGTAATAAATACCAATTCCTGCACTTATACATAACGTCACCGCTATAACTAGATAGTCGATCCATCCTAAGGTAATTATTTCCGTCATTTTGTCTAAAATATTAAATGAATATAAATATGTTGCGTAAGAAAAAAAAGTCGATTTTTAAGTAAATATGATAAATATACAGGGTGTCCGCCACTCAATGGTACAGCGCTCTTGGGCAGATAGAGTGGACCAAACTGAACAAAAAAGTCCTCTACCATTTTGCGATCTTCGCAATAGTTTTCGAGATATTAATATATAAATCTCGTCGAATCTGAATGCGCGGCGAGATACTCCCGCCCATCGTGAACCGCGGTTGCTTCACCCGCGCAGCGTAAGGGTAATTGCACGCTTATCAATACCGCGGCTCACGTCCCCCGCGCGCCGCGCGCTGTATATCAGGTTGAACATGCCAAATAATTTTTAATTTTTTATTGTCCATATGCAATACAATTATTTTATTATATGCATATTACTGTACAATAAATATATGATCTATAATATTTCACTGTATTTCGATTAATTTAAATAAACAATTAGGACTCGCAACAATTAAACCTGGATATACATATATACAAATTATGCACAGAGTACTCTGAAATAAGATTTCTGCCAGATTGACAGCAGCCAGCCTTTCATAGCCTTTATAATATCTAACGATGTTAGCAAACTGCCATCAGAAATATATATGATAAAGCCTGCTGTTTTATGTTATGCCAGCAAAAGATATAGCGGATTAAGGAGGTGATTTTCGGCGCGTAATCGGTCATCATAGTGGCAAAATGTCTATCCAGATAAAAAAAATTTTGTGCCAAGTTTCATTTCAAAAGACCCACATAATTTCGAAATATCACACGAGATGTGATTTTTTGATATTTTTTTTCCACTAAATTTAAATTAATTTTTAAAAAAAATTCATGATTACAAAAGCTATCTATATACATAAGTTTGAATTTTGTTGTCGTTCTGTGCTGAAAATTCTGTTTTTTTTTTAATTCAGAATATTTTAAATCGCATTTTTTCTAGATTTAAAAAACTGACCACTTTTAAAAAAATTTAGTAGATAAG